CATAAAACTATAATGAAGATGAAAATTAAAAAAAAGAAGCATTGCAAAAACAAGTCTTTGAAACAGAGGGGCTGGTTGGGCTGTTGGGAGAGTCTTTATTCATCATTGCAGGTAGATGGCAGCTGATCCATAAGCACCTTGAGAAACACGTGCAGTCACGACCAAAAATCCCTAGAGTAGAAGTGGCTCGAACAAATCCCAGCAGGGCAGTGTCTCATGCAGAAAGAGCAGGATTGTGCTTATACGCACCCATAAATTATCCCATCCAGAGCAAGCTGGGTGTTTAGGTGTTCTCATTGTTTGGAAATTTGTTGTTGGGAAAATATTAACAACCTCACAGCACATAGTTCTTTGCTGTGTCTAAGTGGATTGCAAGTCCCTTGAGGCAGAGGCTCTCTGGGTTTGCCTTCCACAGAGCCAAGCACATTGTCAGCACTCAATTAGACGTGTATATACGGTTTCATGCTGACTCAGAGTTCAAAGATAGCCACTAGTTTTTTCTTGTCGAGCACCCCTGTGTATAGAGAGCTATTTTTACCTGAAGCTGAACCTTTCTAGCATTATTCCCAATAGGAAAAAATAAACCCTGTGTGCTTGAAGTCAAAACTGAAAGAAGGGATCTTTTCTTGGAGGTGCCTGTGATTCTCTTAACCTTCCAGTAACTAAGGAGACACAGCCTCTGCGTGTGCCTCTGTGTCAATGCCTCTCTTCCTTCTTGGTTATACTACGTGGGTGACCCGCTGGCAGGAGAAGCCCCTCTCTGAGACACAAAGAGTTGATCGGTCCCTGTAAGAAAAGAGCAAGTGAGAGGCAACGGTGTCTTTGAAATCAAGGGGTGGGATGCTGATGGGTCCAAGCCATCTCAGGGAACAGTTGTAGAGTCAAGCTGGTACATTCTTGTTTGGAGGGAAAGAAGAGGAAAATAAAAGCAATGAAGTCTAGTTCCAGTAGGCAGGAGCTTTTTGTGACTGTTAAATGTAAAGTCTGCAGTTTCTCCCTCTCCCCTCATCTCCTTTGCTTCCACTCTCTGGGGGTGCTTTTCCACTGGGCACACAAACAGAGGGGAAAGTGTGGGCTGAACGGCAGCTCCCTGGCCACAATCCCTGGCAGATGACTGAAGCTACAGTACGTGAGGCAGACAGTGGAGGCTGGGGAGGATGCTTTCCTTCTCTGGTGGGTGTTTGGGCGGAGGAGAGGGAGGGAAGGGTAAGATTTTTGTATTTGTTTTGTGCTACACATTTTTGTAATTCCAGCCATGCACAGAAAAAGCTGGGCAGTGCTGGCTGCAAAGGTGCTTGTGCACCTGTACAGGGTGGGACAGGCATTCAGAGGCAGAAATAGACACCAGGCCATCCTGTCTGGGCAATTACACTCTTCCTGCATTCTCACCGCAGTTGGCATTTCAGCAGCTAAGCCACAAAGGGAGGTATAAAGACAAATGCGATGTCCTTTTGAAAATACCTGTACTTAAAAGAACCTCCCTCCTGGGATGGCATTCATTATGTGTCTGTTTATTCATCCTTTGCTCACATGGTAATTTGCTCCTGCGGAAATGTATCTCGGCTCCACCCAGTGCTGGGACTGAGCCACTTCTGCTGGCACTGTTGGAGATCACTTACCAAGAGAAATTAGCTGTATGGCATGCATAATGGCGACTGACATAGCTATACCTGCCCACAGCTGCTACGAACGTGATTGCTACCTTTTCAGTAGCTCATCTCAAATCCCAATGGATTTCTAACTCTGCCCTGGCTTGCACTGTACTTCAAGAGTTGGTAATATTCTTGAGATGGCTTTAAGTGTAAATGGGAAGAGGCAAATGAAATGCCAGCCTCTGTCACAGCTCTCTCCTAATATAAAAGATTTGTGGCAGTGGGTTGAGCCGAAGCTGCAGCTGCTGTGGTGTCGCTTGGATATTAATTGGGGAGTGGGTGAGTGCAAGGAGCAGAAAATGCTGTGGAAGAGGGGACAGGAGCCGGATAGGAAGAGGCTGGCACAAGTGCAGGTTCCTTACTGGAATGCATCCCTCTGCCTTATGCTGTGGCCGTCTTTCTTGACAAATTAATCACGTTTCTGCTGCTGCTCTCTCCAACTGAATGTGCCGGCAGTTTTCTGTCTTCCAGATAAGATCTTCATGGTGTTTAGTTGTCGCAGAACCTCAGCTCCTGGTCTAGAGTAACTCAGGTTTCCATCCCACCTGGTAATGTGACCCAGATTCATTCACCTCTATCCTGCCAAACCAGGCTGTTGTTCAGGAGTCTCGTCTGTCATTTGCGGGAGTAATTGCAAAAATTGATTCATAGGAAATGCCTGTAACAGGCAGATCCTTTTGTCAGGCCATGCAGCCATCATATTCTGCATGTATTTGAGTCAATCAATGCTCTGATTTATATTTGGGTCATAAATACTCTGATATAAATTGCATTTATTATTATGACAGCTGTGTTCCATTACCTATTATTTATTAGGTTCTGTTGTCCTTCCGTTTTACACCTTGTGGAGCTGTCAAGTCAGCTGCTTACCAGTGACAAAGCTCACAGCTCAGTTCAGAACCTTCCAAAAATAAATTCTCTGAAGGGATTTCAGTAACAGCAGGATGTATGTTGTTCAAAAGGCATTGGACGATCTTTTTTTGGTTTGTTTTATTGCAAAGAGGAGGTTTGTGCTTTTTTGTCTGCTTTTGCCCAAATTCCAGAATTAGACTTTGCATTTATGATCCAGAGGTCATTGAAGCTAATAAGCCCACTGATTAATGTGAATTTTGGATCATACTCTCCATGTCTCAAACTTGAATTAATCAGGTTATTCAATATTTGAAATGGTGGGATGCTGACTTGGATGTTTCTAATTTTCCGTTAGAAGTTTTTTTAGCTTCATGTCTTTTTTACATTATAAAAATGGCAGAATATCTGATTCTGAGATGAATGAATTTCAACGTCCTTCTAAGGGTAAGGTCAAACTGTAATGGGCACACTGCTCTGTACGAGTCAGAGGCATTTTCTGCTTCCCATTCCCAATAAACAGCCACATATCCTTCGTGCCAGGTCGCCGCACCAGCTTTGCAAGGTGCCGAGCACTTCGGTGTTAATTCAGGAAAGCACTTAATCGTGGAATTGATGATTCCAAAGTGGTTAATATAAGCATGTGCTTAAGTGCCTTGTTGGACTGGGGCCAGTGCAGATGTACCCTTGCGGAGTAGAGATTTGTTAAGCCCCTTCTGGTCTATTAGAGCCAAGTTCACTGGAGATCAGGGGTTTCAGGGATGTGCAGCTCAGGGAGCTGGACTGTGCTGCAGGGGTGGGTGAGCACAATAAAATGTCCCTGGGTAGGAAGGAGAGCATTTACCCAGCCAGTCCCTGTCCTGCGACTAAGCAGGGAACCAGGGTGGGCAGAACGTCAGAGCTCTTGGGCTGTATGTGTGTTAGGATGTTGCATGTGCTTCTTTTCAGGTCTTAAAATGTCTGCATTATCTCCATTTGTTTTACTCTAAAAGTAAAAAAGATTAAATCTGTAATTCCTATCAAATACCACAGTGCAAAATTGACATACACACAATCGTATAGCGCACAAAATAGAGATGCAAATGAATATGTGTATTATTTATAAAGCAGCTTTGACATCTTAATATAGTAAAAAAGAGACATTTAGATAATTTCATTGTTCAGTATTCTGCAGTTTTGAGCTATTGCATATCATCATTCATGAAAAATTCATAATTTGGGTCTTAACCACTTTAATTTTATGCACGTATTCCAACCAAAGGAGTGTGTGTCCTCTCCTCTTGCCTTTTCCTCTCACTCCCTTTTATACAATTAAAAGTACATGGCTAGGGTTAGACAATGTCAAAAGCCCACCATGCCTTCAAGAACTACCTGACAATTAATGAGAGTCATAACTCTGTGACTAAACAGAGATCTCCAGGTATTCTGCTGTCCCACCCAAATCCTTCTGGGTTTGCTGAACCCAAGATAGTCAGTGGAAGTCAAAAAGTTCACACTACTTGGCAGTAAAATCGATGTAGTTCCTCTCATCCCAATCTCAAATGTGGACAGACAAAAGCCAGGTTAAAAAAAAATCAGTTTAAAACTTGGTATTTTTGCCAAGTTCCAAGTCAATTGGGAATACGGTGTGAGTGCCTCATTTCAGGTGTTTTCAGTGGTGTCACTGGCCAGATTGCTTTGAGCTGGGCTGGAGCAGGGAGCTCTGAAGTTGAGGAGATTTTGCAGAGGTTATTCTATCAAGACCCTTATTTCTACATGACAGAAGGTCTCGGGTTAATGCTTTGGGGTTTTTTGAGGGGGAAGCAAAGGGGAAAGGTGAACTCATAGTCTTTCAGATGACAATGTTCCTGGCCTGTTAGGGCTTTGTAGGTTAAAACTATTTTAGTGAAGCTGTTGCTCAGCGATGGGTTTAAATATGAGTTCAGTGCTGGTGAAAGGATCTAATGAGGAGACAGGAGTTTTCGGTCCAACTACAAGGCTGGTGCCAGAAAGACGATAGTAGTGATAACTATTTCCTCACTGTTTCACGGTTGCCTTAAAACACTGCTAGGAAGGATGAAAGAACTTCAGTTTCTGTGGCCTGTTTCTCTCTGGTCTCTGCTGCAAGAGCCAACAAGGAGCCCTTGGCTTGCTTTCTGTTTGCTTGAAATTCCTTCCAGCCTCCACCTTCTCAGTGACATTCCGGCAGAAGCTCTGAATTTATTCTGGCCTGGTTTTGCCCATCCCCGGACGCTGAGCTCACAGCGGGCTGTGAGGGGCTGGTGCTTTCAAATGTAATATGAGTTCACTGGTCTGAAGGTTCTCTGGGAATGAAAAATCTGTTTGATTAAGGAAACACTGACTTCTGAAAGCCTATCAGACTGCGCAACTTTCTAAGTCAGGGCTGCAGAATGTCTAATTAAATGGAACTGCTCTCTAGAGGATTTGGCTTGCAGAAAATTAGTTTTCATGTTCTTGGCCTGATGTTTATTAAACGTTTCTTTCCTTTTTCTCTCCTTTGCAGTTTTCATCTGCAGTTTCATGGTTGCGGCACCTATCTTTGGTTACCTTGGTGACCGTTTCAACAGAAAGATCATTCTCAGCTGCGGGATCTTCTTTTGGTCAGCTGTCACTTTTTCAAGCTCCTTCATCACGGAACAGGTAAGATCTTTGCAAAGGCACTTTGCAGGGTGTCCTGAAAAGACGGACAATACATTCCTAAAATACTCAGTGTGCTCAAGGGGTACATATCCCTCCAGTGTGTTTTTGACATAGAGCATGTTGCCTTATCTGACCTTTTGTGTGTGAAATGAGGTCTGTGTAACTTTTTTTTTAACGGTGAAAGCTGTTATTCTTTGATCATCCGCATACATAAAAAAAGAACAGGTGAAACACATCTAAGCAGGAGTTTCTGTTGACATAAGGGTTTTGTTTTGAGGGAGATCCTAAAGAAACTTTAAAAAGCTTTAAAAATTACTTGAAAAAATTATCCGTGGCTATATAGTGGTTCTCTTCTGATATGCAAGAGGAGCCACTGGAGTTTGTTGAGAAGTCTGCTGATGGTATGTGGAATGACAAAATGCATCCAGCTGTGGTTTTACACATGCACTTAGTTTCCTGTCCAACAAAGGCAATGATGGTGGGTGATAGCACAGAGATTAGACAGTTTCAGCTCCTTTAACACTAGTTGATGGATATGTTTGGGGAACTGATGATGGAGTTGTCAGGCTCACTTAATTTTGTCAAGCTGTAAACAGCATCCCTCACCTGCTTTCAGGACAGCCACAGTACCCCAGTTTGAGGACTCCTCATTGCATTAATTTTCTTGCCTGTCAGAGGTACTTGTAGGAACCAATGATCTGGCAGTTTCTGGGAAAAAATATCCTCTTGTTTAAATCATGTTATAGAGAAGGTTTAATTGCTGCAGGTGGCAACATTCCTGGAGAGACAAATCACAGCTCCTGGCGTCGTCAGACTGATTTCCCCAAGGGAGGCAGGGGTATTCCTCATCCTTTCTGTCCAGCTGCGTTCCAGAGATTGCAGCATTGTGATCACGCCTAAAGAATGACAACCAGGAACTAAACCTTTTCGCCCTGCTCCCTCCTGCCCACACACATGCTCTGCAGTTTCTAATAAAAGAGAATTTCCACCTAAAGTGGGCAGTGGCAGTCACATGTCTGTCTGGCTTTCAGATTGGATTGATTGTTGCTGCATTGCTAAAGAAAAATTCATATGGCCATATGTAGAAGCCTTTAACTCAGTAAATTGTTCTGGTTTATAATTCGTCAGGATGCATCCTTTCCAGAGAAAGAACATCTCCCTTTTAAATGAAGAGGGTGTTTTGGGTTTGTTTTTGGTTTTTTTTTTTTTAAATTTGTCTTCATAACATTCTGCAAAAGCAGCTGTGATCAGAGCCCAAAGAGGGAAGCATTTTATGAAGGAACCAATTACTTGCTTATAAACACTTCTCACGTTATGAACACACATTCATGCTCAGGTTCTCATCGCGCTCTCTGCAGTGGACCTAGTCCTACCGTTGCAAGTAGTGGAACAGTGGAACTGGATTGATGTAATCTATGTTTTCAGAGTTGATTTTCAATTTAAGGATTTTGGGCTTATTAGCTGAAATAGTTCAGGGATTAATATATATGGTCATCAGTGTACAGAAGCTCAGAGTGGAAGTGGCATATTTTTAGCCAAAGAAAGGGCGAATAATGTTTATAAAGCTGGACTATGTTTGGAATCCAAACCCCAATGTTTTGAAAGTCACAAGAGAGACAAGATAGCCAGACCTGTGTTAATTCCTCCTAGATTTGCATCAGTACTAACTCTGGACCAAAACTACAACCTTGGACAAAACCCACCCCAATACTGAGAAAAATCCCCTGTCCTGATTATACTGTGATCCTCAAATCTACCAGAAAACTTATCTATTAAGCTAGAGATGCCCAGCTCTTGTTATCAACTACAGGAGAAGATGGAAAATTTTGCAGCTGCTTTATGGATGTGCTCAACCCAGTGGCTGCAGCAGTTGAGAAGGTCATAAGAATAATCCCACCTTCCCACAGTATCCTACCACTTTGGTATCCTTTTTGGAGGCCTGATCTCTAATTGGGAAGACATGCCACATTGAACAAGGTGAATTCCTGGAGTACTAATGAGAAAAAGGGTCAGAGAAGAGCTTGTGCAGCTTTTTTTTCTTCCTGCAGTGACTAACTAGGCATTTTTCCTGATCTTTGTCTTCTAGGATTCATTTGAGGAGTAAAACATTGCCTCTTCTCTCAACATTTTTCCTTTCTTTCTTTTAAGACTGTATGTATGTTTGTCAGGGAGGAAGGCTAGGAGCTGAAATAGGAAAAACTCTTCGCTGGCACAAATAAAAGCAGTAGTGAGGCTACTAGAAGTAGATGAGTACTCACACCCAAGTCAACATGAAAACACAGGGCCAGAAGGAGGAAGTTGGCATAGGCTGAGACTATTGAAAAACTGCAGAAAACTCTATGCGGTGACAGCAACAATGCTAAACTAGGGGAGAAACAATAGCCGTTCAGTAAAAACAGAAAACTGTGTCTTCAGAGATTGCCTTTCTTCAAATTTTGACAGTGTCCAGTGCCTCGTGCACGCTATCACTGTGTAATTAAATAGAGTACCCATCCGCAGAGTTCAAATCGGGAGTATAAATGGAACGAGACAGCTTAACAAAGGCAGAAAGCAGCTACAGAGCTGGTGGGCTCTGAAGGCACCCAATTTGGAAAGGTTTTTGGCAGTGTGTTGTTAATATTAGTTGCTGGCTAAAATTTGAACACTTAAAAGAAAACAATCAAAATGTTATCATTTGACTGAATATCTGGATTATTTGTAATTTATTGTGCAAACAAGCATACAGAAAAAGACATGTTAATTCTTATCTGTCAAGTTATTCAATAAATAAATACCAATGTGGCAAGAAAAAGACATGGAGTGAGAAACTACCTTAGGTGGATTTTGATCTGGAAAAAAGGATTGGAGCACAATGAAACAGTTCATCTAAGATACTATCTAAATGCTATTTCTTGCTGTTTGGGTTAAAAAGATAGTGACTGAAAATTGGCAGATAAAAGAGGAAATTGGATATATATGTCATGCAGACACGTAGTTGTTAGAGAGCACTGTGCTAAGGTTTGTTACTGCTTCTTAAAATATCCTTAGTTATTTATTACCAAGTATCTTTGGGCTTTTAACATCAAATAATGACTGTCACATGAAGAATGAATCTCTGATCTGCTAGGTGCTACTAAATAGCTAAGTAATAGGCTCCCATGTGGAAAAAAGAAAAATCAGACTAAGATTTAAGATAGTTCTAGAGTATATAGAGGGTGATGGTTACAGAAAAATGACAATGCATGAATTCCATGCATAGCAAAATAGCAGTAGGACAAATAGATACATAAATGTTTGGCTACTGTTCATGCGGTCTTGAATTACATTTACAACAAAGCAAAATAAGAAACCCAAATAAATGCGTAACAGAGACAAAATTCCATAAATAAATTTGATTTCATAGATGAAAATAGCTAAGGATAAATTTAACTAAAGAAAATCATCAGAATTAACAAGACTGGGATAATATTGAAAAGGTCACTTTTTATTCTGTCAAATAATGTGATTTGACAATTTATATTAGTGCAGAATTTCTCTATAGAAAAATAAGAAATGAGTCCTCCTGCACTTTGTCTCTGGTACTTGCCCATTTCTGCTCTGTAACACTGTTTAGCACTTTCTAAAATAAAAGTTGCATTAAAAAATCATTAACAAACTTGTTAATCTAAAATTAGTTAAACCTGGTACATATTTAGACATCTCTCTAGATAACTCCATTTATAGAAACTTCCATAAAATATGTATATATCTTAATTTGTATTTTGTAAGTACAAACACCTGCTTAGAAATTACCTCCCTTTATGCATGCCTTTTAATCACTTCTGCACCTGCAGGTGCCCAAATTTTGGTACTTTCACCTGCAAAACCCTTTCTTGTGTTGTTTTGGCTTTTGGCAAGCATTTGGACAAAACACTTCCTGGTTGTTGGTTCACGCTCCACAGTAAATCAGCAAAAAATAAGTGAGCTGCTGTGCAGTATAGAGTCATATCACAGAGAGATACACTGAGCGCAGACACATCATGGAGTTTCTTTACCAAGATGCATTTCCATCCATGCAAAAAGCTAAATATGTGTCTGTCTTCTTCTGTATCAGTATAAACTCTGATTTAATAAGTAACCAGATTTTTCTCTAGATAGTGTTTTGATGAGCATAGTGTCTGATCGCCTGTGTTGTGGCTGATCATCTGGAGCTGGTTTATATTCCAGAATGTCATTGGGAAGAGTGTAATCCAAATTGCAGCATTTCCCTCTTTCCGAACAGCTTCGCATGAAGCAACTTGGTTATCAGGAGCGATCAGGCCACGTGCTGAGAGTTTGTTTCTGGCTGCTTGGATAACCACATCTATTAGTTGTAATAATAGTTCTTACAGCTGACTACTTTAGCCAGAAATTTGTTGTAGAAGAACCTTGCTTTTGGTGGTAACCTTCCTACCCCTCTTAGTACAAACTTCTTACAGATCAGGACCCCTCTCCCTCATGGGCAGACACCAGTTTCTTAAAGCAAGAAAGAGCTGGGAGGTGGAAAGTTGCCAACTGTTCTCCCCATCTTGCGAAATACTGCTATTTCCCATGTAAATATCTCGAAGAAAGCATATTTCTGTGTAAAAGGGATGCTGTTTTACAGATGAGCAAAGTATTCTGCTAAGTAGTTTGGCTCCACTGGGCTGGGAGACCAAGCGTACCTAATAATCAGCCAGACCAGGCTGTGGTGATGTGGGTTTGCTGGGAGACATCAGAGCTGCAGATGGTAGAAAGTTTGGAAATGGAAGAGCAAAGAATTAACAAGGTAAACCAGGAATGTGTTTTTGCATCCTCCAGTTCTTGGTAAATATTTCTGTTTAAATGTTGATACAGCTAACATGATAAATCCTTTTTGCTTCCACTGCAAGTTAATCTGAGTAGGTATTTCTACTAGTGATTTGTGTTTTTCTTTTCCTCTCCTTGTGATTTATCTCTGAAAGAGGAAGCAAATAGCCCACTGTGGAATTCCAGTTAGCCTGCAGTGCTTGCTAAAGTCCTGT